TGTGGTTCTCCTAGAAGGTTATATTAACAAGAACCTAAAAGAAGTCAGAAGACATATATATATAAAAATCACTGGTTATTAGAAGTGGAAGAGTTCATTTGTATTAAATTGCCATTGATTTCTGTTTTAATAGTGATTTACTTTTAAAGACAGTTCTTTGCACACTTCCCAGCAGCATTATATTAGCAATACTAATGTATTAGTTATCTTTACTGAACTTGGGTACAATTAAAAATTGCTACTCAAAAAAAATAAAAAATTGTTGGAAACTTGTAGCATTGTGAGATTTATCTTCTCTCAGATTGAATTTAGCGTTTCCTGGCTATGGCCCTGCATACTCAATATGCTGTGAGAGCTTAGCTGGTTGCTTTCCATATCATAAAAGGTTTTAAAATCCAAAAAATAAACTGTTAACATTTAATGTGCTATGTGTTGGCAACTGAACTCTACCAAACAGGATTCTGCAATAAAATAAGTTAAAATTAAATTGAGGACCCTGCATGCTGCTGAGGAGAGAACTGTTTTAATAATGCCATTTTCTTATAACCTCTGCTGTGCAATAAAGCCAGCCTGAAACAATAAGACAATGATGATCCAAGCAAGGAATAATAAGGACTACAAACAACTAGGAAGATTTGCTTTCTTTACACAATCTGTTATGAAATAAATAAAACCAGTGTCAGATCAATCTTCGACCTCCCACTGTTACTATTAACTTTTCCACCAATTAGTTATACCTTTCTGTGGAAATTGTGCCTCACTGCAGTTAGGTCTATCCTGATTAACAATTCCTGCTTTCAATTTTTGTTTTTTTTGTGTTTTTTTTTTTTGCTAGAGATGTAGTTTATGACTATCTGCTGTTCATAGTACTGTTTAAAAGCTTACCTTGTGGCACTGAGTGACTTGATTCTCCCTCATGTGATTGAATTATCTACTGAGGCATGTTCAAGCCAAGCTATGGTACTACTTACATTTTCTGGTGCTTCTCCTCTACTATTGTATGCCTGATTCTCATGCTAACCTAATTATCGCTGTCCATCTAGACCTAGCAGTTGTTGCTCTTATCTATCACAGAGCTTGGTTTTTAGCTCACTGATAAAGACAGAGAACTGTAATATATGTTTGTCACTAAATAGTTTAAAGACAGAAAGGGAGCAGATCTGCTAAATAAGAAGTTACAGCAGCAGTTAGTCATTTTGCAGAGTAGACCCTTATTAGATAATTACTCATTGAAAGAGATATTACAATTATCCAAGAATTATACACTAATATTCACACATTTGGCATTTTAAGGGGATTTTTTGCATAAGTATTAAAAAAAATGAAGATAATGGACAAAATAAATTCTGTGACATAGTTCTTTGTTCCTTCTCATGTTAAAAATTACAAAAATTGCTTACCATTTATTTTAAATAAGAAAAAACCTCTGAAGCTGTATGTGCTGTATCTGAAAGTGATGCAATTGCAAATAAACTACAGTGAATCAGACCTTAAATAATATATATCTAGCTTTTACACTTGTGTTACAGCACGCTAAATGACCTGCTACATGTTTTTAAATTCATTTGAAGAATGAATGCATCATAAAATAAGGCCTCAATGTTTATGTTCAGTCTGCAAGAAAAGTTGAGGTGACCTTGACTGTATTTTTTCAGAACGGCACATTAGAAACTATTTCTAAATAGCATTCTCCTTATCCCATGCTTTGAGAGAAGACAACCTGTCTCTGTCAGAGCACTGGAGAAGAAGATATGCAATACAGGATTTATCAGGTGGGCTGATCCCATTAGATAGAAGTTCTTTCTTCTTCTTCCAGTGAGGAGAAATGTAAATGACAAGAGAAAATGCTGCATTAGAAGAATCATTTAATAAAGCTGGGTGATCTTTGTAATTATCTTTTTTTTGGGGGGTGGGGGTGTCTTCCAAAGTAGGTAGGTATTATTGTAGCTAAGTACTAGTTTGCCATAGAGAAGGTGAAGAGTCAGGAGGATATTTGAAGGCAAGTCTGTTGCAGCAAGTATCTAATACTACTTTTAAGGATTACTAGCCTACATGAAGTACAGTTTGTATGACCAGGACAGTGGTCTGCCCAGTACGTTTTAATCATTCTCCTCCTTTCCATTTTTTATCCCAACTTTCAATCAGTTTTACACTACTTAGTTTATATTTACTAAACCAAATTGAGAGATAAAATAAGTTTATACTGATCTGAGCTGGAACCTTGATGTTACATACTGCTTATTTTTCAAGTTCTTGCTTTTCCTGTGCCAATAAAATGTGCAGCCAGGGCCCAGCTATGCAATTGGCACTATTAACATATGCCTCTGAGTAGTATGAAGGTATCTAAAGAACCAGTTCAGTCCATGATCTTAATGACCTTGAAGAATGGCATCTGATGGTAAATAGGTGGCTATGATGATCTCAGACCACTTCATAGACCTTACCAGAAGTGCACTCATACCTGGAATTCGCTGACACCCTGAATCCTATTCTAAGCAAAAAGTCCAAGCTTTAAAACAATAAGAAGTTTGAATTCCTTTTCTTAACCTTAAGTCCTCTCTCTTCAGCTCAATTACAGAGGGTATGTTATTAGCTAGGTCACAGTATCACTTGTATAAATACCAATGAGTAGAGGACTTTATACATCAGTACGGTGACTTCTAATTTTCTGTTATCTTACCATCCAGCAAGACTGAAAGGAGTGAAAAATACTAAAAGATTTAAAATTTGCTGTGCTTCACAAGACATTTTGTTAGGGCCCTGTGTTTATATTTGAAGGACTAATTTGGTCTCAATATGTAGGTAGATGTTGAATGTTTACCTTCATTTTGCTTTTGGAAGCAGTTTGTAACTGTCAATTAGCAGAGCAATCCCTTGTATCTATCCATCTCTGTGGCATGATTTGTGTCTCAGCACAAGGTTGGATGGTCACTCACTGATGACTCAGTGTAGTTTGAGCATTCACAATATATCCAAGGGGTAGCGACATTCTCATGTCATCTACCACTCAGAGAAGACAAGTAACTTGAATACAGGAAGACAGCAAGTAATTTATGGACTGGTTAGTGTTTTAAGCTATGGAGAAGTCTACAGTTTTTATTCATCTTCCTGCACTGGGACAATATTTCTTCAATTTTCATAGTAGGTATCATTTATATTTTGTATTTGTACTTGTTCTTTAATATACTGCCTAAAAGCAAAAGTGATTTCTGAGGCAATATAAGGCAGTATTGGTCTAAAGTAAAATAATAGAAGTGTTTTTTTCCTCTGGATTTTTTATATTGAAAGCAGCAATTGATTCAGTAAATAAATTATTAAATCTAGCCCTCTGAAACAAGTGTGAAATATGCTGATAGAAAAGAATTGCTACCTTAAACATATTTAAAGAGATTTTAGTAAATGCTTGACAGAATGCTTTATAACCAAATGAGTGACAGCTTTGCTATTTTGATATTTGTTAATCTTAAATCGCCATTTTTTTAACTGTAAAGTTTTCCCTGGGAAAGTCAGGCACAGAGAGTTCTCAAATCGTGTGTCAGATTGCTATGAATAATGTTATTGGCATTGAGTGAGACCAATTTTTAAGTAAAGTAGCTACTCCTTTTCCCCCAAAGGACAAAAGCAGAAGCTAACAACAAAGGAAAATATGTTCTCTGTATCTGCCAGTGCATCCATGACCGTAATAAATTCTGGTACCTGTGAAAGTCACAGCAAAAACCACACCCATGTGAGGCACAGCGCAGCCAGAAGAACAAGAAGAGTTCATTAACTGCTTGGCCTCTTGATATTTTCAGGCTTCTGAAATAAGATTTTCATCTAGCTAATACTATATTGCTGTGATTAAAGACAGCGGCATACCCTGGATCTTCTGGCAGAAGTAAGGATAGGACAGCAATTGTATCTTGGCACTCTTTAGAACAGAAACTTCAGGAAATTATGAGTCAAGTTTCACTCTGCCAGTAGGCCCAGAGGTATCTGCTGGGGCCAATGCGGTAGTTGGAGAAGTTGCACGATAGGAAATGTACTATGTGGTGCACTTTTTTGAAAACTGTTGCTGGTTGTCTCCTGTGGATCCCTGGCCGGTTGGTACTAAAGGCTGCATCCCCTTCTCCCCTCTCCCCAGGCGGCTCCCTGGGAGCTTTGTGGTAAGTATTGCCTCTCCCAAGCAGTTGGCCTCTAGGCAGCAGGAGAGAAATGCTAGGTGACCTGTGAGCATCAGTTTTAGGACCTTACTCTTCATACCTAGCTTCGCAGACTGCTGTCCGTAATTTGGAGCGGCAGTGCAAGTGCGATTGCAGTAGCCTCGTCAACAAGGTTAACTGTTTGAGATGTGGTCTGCATAATCAGATTTTGAAGGTTGAACCTGAAAAGAGAGCAAAGAACTCTTGAAATGAAATGAATTGCCTGCCAATGAGATGAATTGCTTACACAGTTTGTTACCGTCAGTGTTATTGCAGGATATTGCTCACTGTGACCACAGCTCTACTTGCAAAGCCCCAGCTCATCGGGGCAGGAGTACGTTGTATTAAAAAGTGATATGTATGTCATTGTTATCTTAAAATTAATGGGTAAAAAATAACTCTTTTCAGGTAATAACCATCGTATTTTCTTCTATGCAACGCTCAAAATTAAGATCACAGAAAGCTGTGCAGGAGTAATGTTGTTCGATTAAAAAAAAAAAAGAAAGCAGAGTATGTGGGAAAATTCATCACTGAACTTCAGAGATAAGATATTCCTTTTCAGTGCCACACTTCCCATAAGCCAGTTTTATGGCCCACTTACGTTGTGTATATCTTTATATGCAGTTGCTTGTATGCCGTAATACTGTGTTATCAAATTCTAATGTTTCCTTTAACAGCACACTTTACTTGTCAGGAAAACCCTACTGAAAAGGTCTTGCCAGATTTGCTATGCATGCTTTTAAAATGATTGCTGTGTTTTCTCTATATCCTCAGCCACTAATACGCACCTGATTTTTACTCTTGTCTCTGTATCACCAGGCCTCCTGAACCTGTTTACAGCACTGTGAACAAACTGTGTGATAAACCACCTTCTCCTAGGCACTATTCCCCTGTCGAGTGTGACAAAAGCTTCCTTCTTTCAGCTCCCTATCCCCACTACCACGTAGGCCTGCTCCCTGACTCTGAGATCACCAGGTACTGCATGCGCTTCTTCCTCACCTCCTTCATTAGAGTGCATGATCATCACTGGATTTATCTCATAGTTTGCATCTTCACCATAGATCTTCTTTTTCTACAGCTTGTGCTTGTTTTTAACCATGCTTTCACATCTGCACCACTGGAAGATATGTGCTATCTCGGTATATAATTTTGGTCATCCAAAATCCAGTGATGAACACAGGCAATGTTTTGATCCATTGGAATGGTGCTCTAAAATAGGTTACATAATATGTATCACATTTTACAACTGAATTCAGAATTTGTTTCTCTGTGAGTACTGAAAGTGACTAAGACTTCACTGAAAGCTGTAGTAATTTGGTTTGATTCAGTCATTTTATTTCTGTGTCGTGCATACTTTGTTCCCTGAGCATCTTTGGGTTTATAGGGTGGCCGCCTAAGCCATTCAGAAGAAACTGAGCAAAAAATAATCACCTCCCTCACCAAGTTGTGGTTGAGAATGCATCTAAAATGTAGCATTCCCTAGGCTAGCTGTGCTCCAGGAGGACAGTTAGTAAAACCTAGAATGATGAACATTTCCACAACTGAAGTAACGGAAGACATTTCTATAAAATATTGTCAGTGATTGCCTCCTGAGAAATATTTAATGAAGAAAAACATACTGCCCAAAACTGTATGCTAGTATAACCCAGCTGCTCTTCTATAGTCTAATAGGTTAGTAGTAAACTACCTGCAAACAAGACTTGGGAGATAGAGGAGGAGTTCGGCACAAGTTTTCAAGAAGATGTTGAGTGCTTCCTTTGTCAGGAAAAAACTATCATCTTTCTTTTATATTCTAGAGTAGAAGAAAAATAATTGTATTTGGAGCTTTGATCATAGACATTTTCTAAAGAAAACAGTTTTCAAAGAAAAGAGTAATGTGGGAAGAGAGGAGCAGAAGTGTGTAAGTGGAAAGTAAAATGGTAAATTAATGTGAGATACAATAACAGGAAAGAAACCCCAGGGATTAGAAAAACAGCTGTGAAAGGCATTGCAGTGCTATGAAATAAAAAGCTAAATTAAAAAAGCGGTAAGACAAATACTAGTGAAGAACGCAACAGATGTGGTAAGACCATGCAGAAGCTGTTAGTTTATTAGAATGAAAACTGGCTAGCTTCTAGAATTTGTAAAAATATGCTTAATCACTGGACAAAGTGATTAGTCAAACTGTTCAGGCCAGTGCAAGTTTGGGTGAAAAACATTGATAAGGGCAATGTTTTATAAAGGTATAAATAACTCCGCAAGGACACCAGACACTAACAGATCTATCCACAATATTTTAATTTCTCTGCAAGCATTATCTCAAAGGAAATAACTAGCCAAAAAAGTAGTAAAATTACTTCAGGTCTTTAGGTACAGTGTACACGAGTAATTTATCTGTAAGCATCACAGTATTTCTGTGTGTTTAGAGCCAGACAACAGAAGACATCATTATAAAAAGTCTCTTACTTTTAAAATGGTCCCTTTAGAAAGGAAGGGATCAACTTGAACTAGAAAGTTGAACAAGCAGGTTCTAGGGGATTTGGGGGCCATGGAGTTGTGTAGTGGGAGCACTGAGGATTAGACTGTGGCTTGCTAACTGTAGAGAGATGCAATTCATTGCTAAGTGGTCGATCTCTATAGACGTGACTGTGAGGACTATGGAGATAGGTGGGGGAAAAGGGTGAATCTGTTAAGGCTACTCCTGCAGACCAGATACTCAGGTGCCAAAAATCAGTGGAGCCCTGGAGAGCTCATAGAACAAGGCCATTTTGCCACCTGAAGGTATAATTCTCTACATCCTTTTGCTTTATTGTATGATTGATTGAATACTTGGTCATCAGATATTTGATGACCTGACATCAGGACTTAAAAAGCTGGGGTTTGTTCTACTGAGTGTCAGTTAACACTTCTCTTTAAGAACAAGGTTTGATTTCTCTTCATTCTACTTTGATATAAAATTAAGCTCTAGTCCCTGTATATTTAATCAGTTTGCTTATTTCAACAGTCCAATAAAAAAACTGCAAAAAGAACACAAAAAATGAGAAAAGACACAACTCACGGTTAAATGCTCTGCACTATGCTCTGCTACATGCTGTGGTAGAGGCAACTGATTGCTATAATTTATACTTCCTTCCCACTGTGAAATAACATTCAGATGGAAAATATGACAGTTTTCGATGTTCTCAAATACTGTCATCTTTTCCACAGGACTCTTTGAATAGTTGACTGTGGAAGAAGACATTTGAAATAATATTTTACCAAATGCCTTCGGTGAGGAAAGTGACAGCTTTACAACATATGATCTGTTTTCCAAATGGACTCAGTATTCACAGCTGGAGAACAGATTTTAGAAAAGTGTTTACCCCATTTTAACCCTAATCCAAGTGGCTATTTTTACAGAAGTGTTCATTGTACACAGCCCTAAATTTCACAAAGGTGATGTGTCTCAGGGCTGTATTGTGTTGAATATTTGGAAGAATTAAGCCCTATTCCTCCACATTATACACTCTCATGGTCTTCAGTCAAATAAAAAAGATATCTCCCTGTCTTTCTGCAGGCTTCCTAGAAAGAGTGTTTCATCAGAATTGTCAGCCTCAGGTTTGGGGAGGAAGGGACAGGGGTTATTTGCTTGTTTTGGTAACTGCGGTTGTTGTTGTATCTCAGTGCTCCAGTATTGATAATCTGCTGAGGAACTGCAAGAAATTTGGTTTGACAAACAACTCTTCCAAAGGAAGAGGAACATGATGCCATGTTCTCCCAATTGAAATGCTTGTAAGCCAGCCAACGCCTTTCAAATTACTGCTCCAGATAATTTGTCAGCTACTCCTCAGATGATTGTTTTGTCAGGCTCATTAACTTAATAGGCAAAGAGAATTCATAGGCCAAAGCCTTACTTGTCTATAATAAATTCAAGTTTATAACCCTTGCTTTTATGGTGGCCTGTCTTAGCTCCTGGGAGATTTGGAGGTCCAGAACTGTATACTCCCATTTTAGGATAAAAATAATTTGGTTTTTGATTGAATTATCAGTTCATGTGAATTGATATTAAAAGGGCTATGTCAATGTGTAACAACTGAAAATCTGTCCCACTGAAGGCAGGAGTAGAGAGAGAATTTTGCAGTAGTAAGTTTTCCTTTGAGAGCACCACGTGGGAATGTATGCAGAGTATTCCTGTTCTGGCCTCTATCATTATTGACAGTTATGTCTACAATTAGAAGATTATTGGCAGCGAAAGGAAATCACAGCTCATAGATGTAATACTCTTTCTACAAGCACGAGACTTTGTTTCCGTATTATGTAACACAATATGTTGTGTTCTCAGTCTTTGCACTGAGAACTTTGTTACATACACCACTACGTAGACACACTTAAAAAATGCTTCAGTTTTGCCCAGAAATAACTTCCCTTTCTTCACTGAAATGTTTTTGGCATTCTAGTTGCCAGCATAGCTTTTGCTAAAGGGCAGCCCTCATGTTGTTGGTTTCTGTAATTTTTTTTTTTTTTTCCCCCATCAGTATTTGCTTTTCTCTTAAGCCTTTGATCATGTGATTGCGTCAATATTTTTGAATACATCTAGGGGAAGGAACTAAGGGTAGAGTTTCGAACTTTGTAGTCATGGAAGAAAAGCTTGGGAACATGACTCCTCCAAAGAAAATAAAAATAAGTGAAAAGTTTGTTCATGTTTAGTCTAAACTTGCAGATCCTCCTTATGGTGCTTGGGTGCCTGGATTGAAAGTATTTGGCTTGCTTTTTAAATCAAGATTAGTTTCTTGAAGCCAGCCCTGGTTCTGGCTGACACTGTGATCTGCAGTCTTAGGCAAGGTAGTTAATGATTTTGTGCTTTGTTTCCCAGCCTCTAAAGAAGTTTAGCAATGATCTCATAGAGCTTCTTTGAAAACTAATTCTGTCTGAGACAATAGCATCCTATTATTAATGGTAATTTGTGTTATTGTTTAATAACATAAAAATGATTTTAAGGTATTTGATGAATTGGATGAATGACATCAGTTCTTCGGACCACCACTACTTTCTCACCGATGGGGATTAGGGAGAGAAGATAATACTGGCACAGGGCTCTAGGGCAGAGTCTTTTGCAGAAAACAGCATGCCATTTGCATAGGTATTCAAGGGTAACTGAGCATTGTGTAACAATAAAGAACTACACTAATAAAAGTGTGCTGAAATATATGCAGGACATATGGGTAAAGAGACTATAATGTCCAGAATCTTAATGATTGATGTGTGATGCTACTTCCAATGTGTGGCTGAATTCCCACAGCCTCCATGTAAGCACAGGAGGGTCACAACATTCCAGCAGCCTCCGCAGTCAGACTAGTGTACCTCCGCAACGCTATACAAGCAAGTGCTTGCGGTCACCTCATTTAATTGTCGGGATCCCTGGGATCCCTCCGTAGGCCATGAAGCGACAGCTGAGAAGGTGCTGATCGCTTTTCCCTGATCCTAGCAGGAAGTTAAGGTAACTGCACCTGAAAAAAGAGTGAGCGGTGGACCTCTGGTACTCATTGGTATAGGGTCTTTTCTCATTTGATAATATCTCTGCAGCCTTTTTCTTTACAACAGCCTACTGGGAGCGAGCTTATTGTCAAAATGATGCATATAACTGTACTTGTGTGTGGCTGCCTTCCAGGGAGGCTCTTGTCATCTTTATTGAAATTCACATTGTACAGGAGTACTCATCATCCCCTTTTCAATCCCATGTGTTTAATATAGGAATTATATCTCCCAAAACACATCTATCCATATTTTGAGGTTTTTGAAATGCCTGGCAACCTGAAAATGGGACCTATCAAACAAGCAGTAAAAAGCAATATTATGAAATTGAGTCTTCAACTTGCCCCACATAAACACAACCACCTTTCTTGAATTTCAAATGAGCATTTACTGTTTAGTTGTATTCATTGACTTATTTTTTGGGAACATTTCAAATAATAATTACAAAATTGGAAATTAGTCTGGTTTGGGCAAATGGTTTTAAA